TGTGTGTGTGTGTGTGTGTTTTCCTTTAAACTTTTTTCTCTTGCCCGGCTAATTTTTTCTATTTTTAGTAGAAACGAGGTCTCGCTCTTGCTCGGGCTGGTCTTGAACTCCTGACCGCAAGCAATCCTCCTGCCTCGGCCTCCCAGAGTGCTAGGATTACAGGCATGAGCCACCGTGCCCAGCTGACTGTAGGCTTTTTGAAGATATACTTTATCATGTTAAAGAAGTTCCCTTCTTTTCCTACTTTGCTATGAGTTTTTGTGATGAATCAGTATTGTATTTTGTCATGTATTTTCTACATTTGTTGATCTCATCATGTGTTTTTTTTTCCTCTTTAGACTATTAATATAGTGTATTATATTACATGATTTTTAAATATTGAACCAGCCTCACATTCCCCACTTAGATAACTCTACTTGGTCTTGGTGCATTATTCTTTTTGATACATTGCTAGAATCAATTTGCTATTTTGTTGTGGATTTTTGCATTTATGTTTATGAGGAATATTGATCTATATATTTTTTTTTTTTTTTGAGACAGTCTAGCTCTGTTGCATGGGCTAGAGTGCCGTGGCATCAGCCTAGCTCACAGCAACCTCAAACTCCTGGGTTCAAGCGATCCTCCTGCCTCAGCCTCCCGAGTAGCTGGGACTACAGGCACGTACCACCACGCCTAGCTAATTTTTTCTATTGTTAGTAGAGATGGGGTCTCACTCTTGTTCAGGCTGGTCTTGAACTCCTGGTCAGGCTCAAGTAATCCTCCCGCCTTGGCCTCCCAGAGTGTTAGGATTACAGGCTTGAGCCATAGTGCCCAGCCTTACAATTTTTTTTGAACTGTTTTTGTATCAGGATAATGCTGGTTTCATGAGTTGGAAAGTATTCCCTTCTCTTTTATTTTCTGGAAAACATTGTGTAGAATTGGTGTTATTTCTTTAAATTTTTAGTAGAATTTACCAGTAAAACCATCTGAACCTAGAGATTTCTTTTTTGGAAGATTTTAAACTACAAATGCAATTTCTTTCATAATTACAAGACTATTCAGGTTGTCTTTTTCATCTTGAGTGAGTTTTGGTAGTTTGTGATTTTTAAGGAAACTCTTTTTTCCTGCCTTTTGGGTTATTTGAACATTTTTTAGTCTTCCATTTTAATTTTTATGGGTTTTTACTGTATCTTTGCATAATTTCATTGGATTCTTTAGAGATTACAATATACATTTTTAACTTTCCAGTCTAGAATCAATATTTTACCACCTCAGCTGGAATGTAGGAACTTTACCACCATATAGGTCACTTTACTGTTCTCCCTTTACATCCGAGTTGTCTTTTTTTGTTTTTTTAATGTATTTTTTGAGACAGGATCTCACTCTGTTGCTTGGGCTAGAGTGCAGTGGATCATCATAGCTCATTGTAACCTCCAACTCCTGGGCTCAAGCAATCCTGCTTCAGCCTCCCAAGCAGCTGGGACTACAGGTGTGTGCCACCGTGCCTGGCCAATCTTTCTATGTTTTGTAGAGATGAGGGTCTTGCTGTGTTTCCCAGGCTGGTCTCAAACTTCTGGCTTCAAGCGATCCTCCCTCCTTAGCCTCCCAAAATGCTGAGATTACAGATGTGGGCCTGTACACCTGGCCCCTAGTTGTCTTATATTACATCTACATGCATTGAAAACCCCCATCAAACAATGCTATAATTTTTGCTTCTAACTTAAAAATATTTGTTAAAAAACTCAAGAGGAGAATATTATATTTACAAAGATATTTACAATTTTTATTGTTTTTCCTTCATTCCTAATGTCCAAGGTTTCCTTCTGGTTTCTTTTTCCTTCTGTCTGAAGGAATTCCTTTAGTAATTCTTTTAAAACTGTCTGCCAGCAACAGATAATCTTAGTTTTTGTTTTTTCAATCAGTTATTTATCATCAGAGAATGCCTATTTCACCTTCATTCCCAAAGAATGTTTTTACTGGATGTGGAAAATTAGTTATTTTCTTTCAGCAGTTGAAAATGTACCATTTCCTTTTGGCCTTTATGGTATCCGATGAAAAATCCAGTCATTTGAATCATTGTTCACCTACAGATAGTGCATATTTCTGTGGTTGCTATCAAGATTTCGTCTGTCTTTAGTCTTTAGCAGTTTGATTATAACATGGCCGGATACATCTTTCTTCGGGTTTATTTGGGGTTCACTGAGCTTCTTGAATATATAGGTTTATGTATATGTGTTTCACCAAACTTGGCAGTTTTCAGTCATAAGTTTTTCAAATATTTTTTCAGTACCATACTCTTTCTCCTCTCCTTCTAAAACTTCAGTGACATGAATTTTGAACTTCTATTATCATCTCACAAGTCCTTGAGGTTTTGTTCATTTTTTTTTCAAGATAGGGTCTTGCTCTGTTGCCCAAGCTGGAGTGCAGTGACACAGTCATAGTTCCCTGTAACCTTGAATTCCTGGGCTCAAGTGATCCTCCTGCCTTAGCCTCCCAAATAGCTAGGACTATAGGCATGTGCCACCACTCCTGGCTAATTTTTTATTTTTTTATAGAGACAGTGCCTCACTATGTTGCCCAGGCTGGTCTTTAACTCCTGGCCTCAAGCAATCCTCTTGCCTTGGTCTCCCAAAGTGCTGAGATTCAATTTTTTTTTAACCTTCTTTTCCCTCTTTCTTGTTCAGATTGGATAATTTCTGTTGGTCTCTCTTCATTTTTATTTTATTTTATCTTATTTTATTTATTTTTTAACAGCATTTTGCTACAGGTCTCTCTTCAATTTCACTGATTCTTTCCTCTGTCATTTCCATTTTGCTATTGAATCTTCTTTATCTCTATGATTTTAAAATTTCAGTTACAGTCGTGTTAAAGACAGGGATATATTCTGGGAAATGTGTCATTAGGTGATTTTATCATTGTGCAAACATCCTAGAGTGTACTTATACAAACCTAGATAGTATAGCCTACTACATACCCATGCCATATGGTAGAGCCTATTGCTTCTAGTATGCAAACCTTTACAGCAAGTTCCTGTACGGAATACTGTAGGCAATTGTAACACAGTGGTAAGCACTTGCATATTTGAACATAGAAAAGGTACAGTAAAAATATGATATAAGAGATTTTTTAAAATGGATCACCTATATAGGGCACTTACCATGAATGAAGCCTGTAGGACTGGAAGTTGCTCTGGGTGAGTCAGTGAATGAGTGAATGTGAAGGCCTACAACATTACTGTACACTCACTGTGGACTTTATAAACACTGTACACTTAGGCTACACTAAATTTATTAAAAAGTTAAGTAATTGTACTACATCATCATGGCTATGAGGTCTCTAGGTAATAGGAATTTTTCAGCTCCATTATAATCTTATGGGATCACCATTGTATACACAATCCCTCATTGATGGAATTGTCATTGTGCAGCACGTGACTGTATTTTTCAGTTCTAAAATTTCTATTTTGTTCCTCATATCTTCTGTTTCTTGATGAGACTTTCTGTTTTTCTGTTTGTCTCAGGAGCATACACAATTGCTTGTTGGACCATTTGCATAATAGCTGCTTTAAAGTCTTTGTCAGATAATTTTAACATTCCTGTTGTTTTAATGCTAGCTGGCATCTCGATTGGCTTTTCTCATGTGAGTTGAGATTTTCCTATGATTGAGTGATTTTGGATTGCATCCTAGACACTTTGAATAGTATTATACTCAAATACACTGTTCGAGATTCTGGATCTTGGAGATCCTATGAAGGATCCGATGAAGAATGTTGATAATTTTTTAGCAGACAGTTGACCTGGTTAGATTCAGGCTGAAGGTCTAAACTACTGCCTCTGGGCTGTGATTTCCACATCAGTTGTTTCCTTTGCAGTGTTATTCAGATCTATCCTGTATGTTCATGCCACCCAGTGGTTAGTCTGTGACCTGGGTGGTGGTCTATCTGTTAATTCTGTTCTCAAAGACTTTGGTATGTAAGTTAGGATCAGAGCCATACATGAGCAGCCCAGGGGTAAGCCCTGTGGTTCATTAAAAACTTTCCTGAGCCTCTCCCAGGTAGTTTCTGGTTCCCTGAGGCTTCCTTTTTTAGTCCTCTAGCCAAAAGCTGAAGGTTTAGTTATCCCATTGTGTCCATGCCCATATCCAGGGCCAAGTGATAGGAGGATAATACAAAAAGCAACAGGGGTTGACTGTACCCTCTTGAGACCAGAGCACTTCTGCTCGGAAAAGAAGGCTCCTCTCTTTCAGAGTTTTGGCTCTTGCTGCCTGCCACTGCAGCCTCTGCCACCACTGCCAAGGGGTTGCCTGGGAGCCAGGGCAAGGGAAAACAGGAATTTAGGAGTTCTTTCTCACTCCTTGAATTTGTACCAGAGGGCTTCTCCTGGAATTTGCTTTTGCACTCACTCTCTCGCTCTCTTGTGCACATTCTCTCTCTGTTCCCCTCCCTCTCCCCCTCTCCCTCCCCCTTTCCCTTTCCCTTTCCCTCTCCCTCCTTCAGTGCTTAGTTCTTAGGATTCAGGCAGTACTGCATTCAGGCTGGAGGGAGGTTGCTAGAGGAGGAAAAATGGTAATTCAGGTCCTCTTCAATTTGCCTGTTACTTTTTACTTTCCAGAGTCCTCATATAGCTGCTACGTGTACTGTGTCCAGGTTTTATGTTGAATTCAGTGAGAGAGACAAGATGGAGTGCATTTATTCCTTGTTACCTGGAACTGGAACTCTCAGTAAAGGATTTTAACCTGGGGAATAACATGGTCTAAGTTGCATTATATTTTTTTTGACTTTACGGCTTTTTTTAATGCTTATTTTAAATTCGCAGTTATTATGTGCTTAGCGTAACAAATTACATAATACAGAAGTGCATAAAGTAAAAGGTGAATTCAGCACCATCCCCACCAGAGTCCCCAGAATAACTATCTTTTACTTGCTTGGTATGCATTATTTTCTACATGCAGGCATGGCATGTATACATATATTTACTTTTTATGAAAATGAGATTTACTTTTTATGAAAATCATATTAATCTACATTTCTTCTTGTCAGTACATATAGATCGGCCCCGTTCTTTCTAATGGCTGTATTCTACTGTATGGATGTACCATGATTTAACAATGCTTTATTGATATACACTTAAATTTTTCTATTTTGTTTTGCCATTACAAAGTGTTACATATTCTTTTTTATTTTTTTTCACTAATAGAAACCCTTTATCAAATTAAGAAAATTTTCTTCTATTTCAGGCTGAGGTTTTTTTAAATCAGGAATGGATTTTAATTTTACTGTACCTTTAAAGCATATTTGCATTTTAAAAATGAGTGTGTGGGAGACTGATTTGCTACAGGGGTGGGGGGGTGGCAGTAGGAGACAGGCAACAGCCTCTCAGATGCAGAGTGACTGCAACTGGAGAGATGTTTTGGAGATAGTCAGCTACACCTGGTGACTTACCTGATAGGAGGGAAGATTGGGCGTGAGTATGTGGAGAGGGTCTGGCAGGGATCTTTGTTGCTGATCTTTAGATCTCTCATTAGGTGGCTTTGAGTCTTCTGTAGCATATGAAGTCTTTGAAGTATCATGAGCTGGAATTTTGTGGAAGAAGGCAATGACAGAAGTTTAAGTGGGGCCCTGTCAGAAGTGGTCCTAAAACCAGGGGCAGTCAGTCATGGGGGTGCAGTGCAGGGAGCTGTGAGCAGAGAGGTAGAGTCATAGGGAGGTGAGGGGGGCTTTAACCTGCTAGGTTAGAGCCCCCGTCAGACCTGTATTTACTTCCAGCTTCAAGTCTGGATAGTCAGTCGTTTGTGGTGGTACCCTCCAGTGATGAAGTGGTGACTAATCTGGAAACTCTGACAAGCAAATGCCTCCATGGGAAGAACTACTGCAGGCAGGTCCTCTGTCTGTATGAACTTGCCAAGGTACGTGCCAAAGGGTGGGGCTCCCATAGGACATTCCTTTTGAGAGTGAGGGAAGCAGGAAGTTAGAAGTTGATTTTGGACATTAGTAAGTCAGCCCTTCAGGGGATAATCAAGACCTGGGAGGAGAGCTCTTACCAGGATATCGGCCCCCATAAGTCCCTCTCTGGGGAATAGTGTCGGAGAGGGGACACCAGGCCAGATGCCAGGATGATTTGACTCCTGGCTGCAGCTTTCTCCAACCAGAAAGCTAGGGCAGGACATTTCATTTCTGTGGGCCCCTGGCTGTTCATCTAATGATGATTTGACCATGAGGGTCGCTTCTAGACCTAAAATCTTAGGCTTTGCTTCATGAGTGTTTGGAGCATCCCATATGGGATACAGTGACTATAAAGAGCGGAGCCAGAGCAGCCAGAAATTGTCTGTGGCTTTGTGCTAGTTGAGGGAGAAAAGTAGCAGACCAGAAGTGGAAGAGCATGAGAGAAATAAAGCCAAGCATTAAAGCCCTTGCCTTGGAGAAGACTCAGAGACTTCTTTGGAAATTGAGGGTTTTGCTGCTGCTGTGGGAACAAGAAGGAAGGGGCTCTTGAGTTTTATTCAATTTTCTTACATTTCATGTTTGAAAAGATCATTATTCAACAAGAGAGTCACCTGATGTTTTCTGAAGACAAGCCTGCCTTTTACTTTGGTTTGGCTTTAGTGACATGATAGAAAGGGTTAGAAAACAGTACTTGCTTTTTCTAAGATTCTTGCTCAGGGTGAGGGATCTTTAAGCTGAGAAAACTAATAGAGCTGTCCACGTAAGATTTCAGAAAGGGCTGTCTTCTGCTTTTCCTGGCTTCTGAAAATGTCTTTGACTGGCTTTGCCTTCCTCTCAGGAGTTGGGCTGTTCCTACACAAATGTTGCTGCCCAGGATGGCGAAGCCATGCTCCGGGCAATCTTGGCCTCTCAGCAGCCTGACCGATGCAAACGAGCCCAGGCCTTCATCAGCACCCAAGGCCTCAAGCCAGACACTGTGGCTGAACTTGTAGCTGAAGAGGTGACACGGGAGCTGCTGGCCCCATCAGAGGGAACAGGTGCCTTGCTCCTCCAGGTCTCCCCAGCCTCTCAGATGTCATTCTCTGGTTCCCTGTGTTAAGGATTCGGATGTTACGTATCCTGTATGTTGTCCTCTCAAGTTTCCAGATTACACTTGTACGAGAATACATTGCATTTATCTTGTTGCTGTTTATTGTTTTATGATTATGCTTGGAGTAGCTATGTCTTTTTTTGAGCTAAAGAACTCCTCTGCCCTGTAAGATAACCAATAGCCAAGGTTTTTGAGCTCAACAAGGGGAGAGCTGCAAAGAGCACTCCATTAGCATTACCTCCTGGTGCCCAAGGCTGGGCAGAGCGGGCCTCCTGGCACAGGGCTTTGTCCTTCTCCCAACTCTCTCTTGGTAAAACCATCACCTGTCTCTACATCTTTCGTATAGGACATAAGCAGATGTTTAGCCCAGCGGAGGAAAGCCAGACGTTTCTTCAGCTGACCACTTTGTGTCAAGACCGCACATTAGTAGGCATGAAGTTGTTGGATAAGATTTCCTCTGTTCCCCATGGAGAATTGTCTTGCAGTAAGTTCTCAGCCTTTTTCTTACACGTTTTGGGCCTAAACAGGTCTCTGAAAGGTCTCCAGAGTCACTCTCTCTAAAACTTGAGTCCTCGTTCCTGCTCTGGATACCTAGCCCTCTAGCATGGGTTATAAGTTCTTGGTAGGAAGCCTTAAGTTCATTGAAGAAAATTTAGAAAGTGTGGATAAGTATCCCCAAATGTAAAACCACACAAAAAGGTAACCTTTAATCATTTGACATACTTATTTTACTCTTATATTACCCTGCAAAGTGGGTATTATTATCCCCATTTTAGAAGAGAGAAAACTGAAATTTAGTTGGTTAATTTATAGCTATTAAGTGGCAGAGCTGGTATTTGAACCCAGTCTGTGTGATTTCAAAGCTTGCTCATTTTCCTTAATGTCTAGCTCATTATAGGCATTCAGTGGTATTTGTGGTAGGTTTTCTTTTTTCAAAAATGACATTATACTATATATAATGTTCATAATTTTTTAACTTATGAATATGTTATCATTAACATTTTTCACAGCACTGAATATTCTTCTATATCTTTTTTTTTTTTTTTGAGACAGAGTCTCACTCTGTTGCCCTGGCTAGAGTGCCGTGGCGTCGGCCTAGCTCACAGCAACCTCAGACTCCTGAGCTCAAACAATCCGCCCGCCTCGGCCTCCCAGAGTGCTAGAATTACAGGCGTGAGCCACCACGCCCAGCCTCTTCTATGTCATTTTTGATGGCTACATGGGATTTCTTTTATATATAATTAAGAATTTTATACTATTGTGGGACCTTTAAATTGCTTCCAATTTTTGCTATTTTAAATACATTGATGAATATATTTTAGGCAAATTTCTGTGTGCATCCCTGATTATTTTCCTAAGATAAATTCACAATTCAAGAGTATGCCCATTTTAAGGCTTCTGATATATATATGCACACACATAGAGACTGCGCCAGCCAAATTTCACTTCAGAAAAAAATCACTTCTGACTCTCACTTAAGCAGTGTGAGATACTTCCTGCAATCTATTCCACTTTGCAAATTTGATAGGCAAAAAAAAGGCATTTTACTGATGTTTAATGAACAAATAAATGGAGATTTTTAAAAGTTTAAACAGTTTCATTTTTAAAACGGCCTTCTATATTTTTTGTCAGTCCAGTTCAACAATATTTACTGAGTGCCAGCTGTGTGCCAGGCACCCTAAGCACCTGAGGTATGGTGAATAAGTTAAATAGCAATCCCTGAAGCTCACAGACCAGGGTTTTAATACACAGTAACAGCCAGACTGATGGGATCAAGATAGGTTTCTGGAGGAAATGTCCAAACTAAGGCCTGAACAGGGATTAGCTGTCAGGGGTCCTCAGTACTCGGTAGGTTTGGGGAGGGCCCCGCAAAAGCCCCAGAGGGCACAGCATGTATTAAAGATGGGGAACCCTATTTCAATCCTCATCATTACAAATATTTTTCACAGTTTGCCTTTTAATTTTCCTTATAGTGATTGTGTACAGTATTTTTAAGTCTATATGTAGAAAAACTTTCACTAATCTATAAAGCCAGAACACTGGCCGGGCGCGGTGGCTCACGCCTGTAATCCTAGCACTCTGGGAGGCCGAGGCAGGCAGACTGTTTTAGCTCAGGAGTTTGAGACCAGCCTGAGCAAGAGCGAGACCCCGTTTCTACTAAAAAATAGAAAGAAATTAATCGTACAACTAAAAATATATAGAAAAAATTAGCCGGGCATGGTGGCACATGCCTGTAGTCCCAGCTACTTGGGAGGCTGAGGCAGAAGGATTGCTCAAGCCCAGGAGTTTGAGGTTGCTGTGAGCTAGGCTGACGCCACGGCACTCACTCTAGCCCAGGTAACAAAAGCAAGACTCTGTTTCAAAAAAAAGCCAGAACACCAAATGGCATTTGATTAGGCCCTAAGACCTTCCACTGGGATACAAGCAGAGAATGCCCTTGGATTTGTGTTGGCTGGGCCTTTTGGAGATATGGTCACTACACAGCTGTCTTTGAGGATAGAGTTATTCTCTGTGCTGTCATCACTGAGAGGCAAATTTAGATGTCAGCAAGGGGCTGTCCCAGAGCTAGATGCTGTGGTCAGGGACCTCAGAGGACTGGGTGGGAGACCCCTCTCCAGATTGGTCCTTTCTCTATCAGGCCCCTTTAGCCTCCCAGGGGTGAAGTTGGGTGGCCAGGTTGACAGTGGATGGCCAGGGTTCACAATCCTGTCTTACCCACGCAGCTACAGAGCTCCTCATCCTGGCCCATCACTGCTTCACCCTGACATGCCACATGGAGGGCATCATCCGAGTCCTACAGGCTGCCCGGATGCTCACAGATAACCACTTGGCCCCCAATGAGGAGTATGGACTGGTGGTGAGTAGCTCCCCAACCAGCCCCTCTCTCCATCCTGAGGAAACCTTTGAGAGGAACAGACAGGCTGGGGCCAGCTCAGCTGATACGGTCTTAGGGAATTCTGCCCATCTGGGTACCACTACCTCTGCTCCAAGTTATGATTTCTGTCAGAATCAGAGATTGCTCCAAAGGTGCGAAAGTGAGAGGATCCCTGCCAGGTTGCCAGGGCAGTTTTTCTAGAGTGCTAAGACAGCTGCATTCCTCCCCAAAACAAGGTTCCGGACTTTTCCTCTTAACTCTGAATTGAAATGAGTTGACAAGTCAAGCCTCGCATGCCTTCCCAAATTATCTGGGCTTGAAACTGACCTGAGGCCACTGTATCAAGGAAGTGGTAGGAAAAGGAAGAATGCCTGCCCAGGAGATGGCACTTCAGCACTTGATAATCTACATCTTGGGACAGCAGAGAAGGGGAACAGCCTGTGGTGTCCCAGTGACTGGCATTTCTGAATCATCCAGAGGATTCCCGTCGGGTACATGGGAGGGAGCTAAGCATGGCAGCCTGGACACTAGCCCTGCTCCCCCTAGAGCCTGGCATCTGAAAGCAACCAAACTGATGGTAGTGGTCCAACTCAGACAACTCCAGGTGATGCTGATGTGAGCTGTTCTCCCCCTCCACAGGTACGTCTCCTCACTGGCATTGGAAGGTACAACGAGATGACATACATATTTGATTTACTGCATAAAAAACACTACTTCGAAGTGCTGATGAGGAAGAAGTTGGACCCGGTAGGTGTGATGTAATGAGTTCCAGGATGACAAGTACTACTGACATTTGGGAGCCTCGGCTTTTCTCAGGAATAATCCCAATCATGGTGGACCTGGGATACGGAGGGAGGGAATTAGGGGCCTCCTGTAAACAGTAGCTTAAGACTAGAGTTCAGACTAGGTAGTGATTATACTGATGCGAAATATCAAAGAAAATGAGTTTATCCTCCACCTCAACCTCTGTTGCCTGCCTCTACTGTTTTAAATGCCTGTTCTGGAGATGCAAAAACCCTTCCTAAGAGCCATGCTGAAAGTGAACTGTCCACCTCTGAGGCTGTCTGAGGGCTTTTAGAGTGTTTTCAGGGGACCACGAAAAGTGTGTTGCTGAGAGCCAAGTTAGGAAGCGAAGGCAGAGGCCTGCGCCAGAAAAGCTATAGAGCCATTTATGACGACGACCAGGAAGGAGGCTTGGAAGCAGAGGCCAACTTACTCAGGTCCTGGGCTCTGGGAGCCTGTCTGTCCTCAGCAGGCTCTGTGACACCAGGGCATGTCACTCACAGAGCCTGTTTCCAGAATATTTGGCTGATTCACTGCTTCTGCTCATTTCACCTTTGGCTTCTGGGAACATGGGAACAGCCAAGCAAGATGAAGAGACAAAGCAGGAGAAATCTCTTTAATGTTGGGCCAGTTTCAGGACAGACCAGTCTAGTCATCAGGAGAGGAACGAGTCCTGGACATAGGTCCATCTTCAAGATCCCCTGAAGGGTTTTTTAAATTGTTGTTTTTGAGGTAGTTTTGTTTCTGCATTTAAATATTCTTTTAATAACTTTTTGTGATTACAAAAGTAATACATATTCCATGAAAGACATTTGGAAAATAACACAGAAAAAAGCCCTGGGTGTCTATCCACCATCTGGAGACAGCCACTACTGACAATCTGGCACAGGCCCCTTCTTTGCTCATGTACCCCAAAACATATACGTATTCACATATTTTAACAAAACTTACACCGTAAAGATAGGAAATAGCCTGCGTTTCTCACTGAAAAGTGAATCATGATTATTTCCCAAAACAACAGATAGTCTTCTACATCCATTTTAATGGTTACAGGATATTCTCTTAGCCCTTGCCTTGAACATCTGGATTGTTCCTAATTGTTATTAAGTATCCTTGTTATCTTCATTTTAGCACTTTTTTTTTGCTTATCACTTTAGGAATAGAGTCCTAGAAATGGGATTGTCAGGTCAACTATTTTTAAGGCTTCTCCTTTCTGCAAGGTTTTACCATTCATACTCCCACCAGCAAAGTGGACATGCTTGTTTCCTTATATTCAGGATAGCATAAAACTTCTGTATTCATTTTCATTTTTGCTCATCTATTCCTTTTTCTTGAGCGTTTTTAAGAAACTTTTACAACCAGGGGACTCAGGCAATCCTGCCTGCCTTGCAGTCCCTGATTGAGACCTTCGTATTCCCTTTATTCCTGGGCAGAGTGGTACCCTGAAGACAGCCCTGCTGGACTACATCAAACGCTGCCACCCTGGGGACAGTGAGAAGCACAACATGATTGCCCTGTGTTTTAGCATGTGCCGAGAGATTGGCGAGAACCACGAGGCAGCTGCCTGCATCCAGCTGAAACTGATTGAGTCTCAGCCCTGGGGTGAGTGAGGTCACAGCAGCAACCCCAGGGCCATGCTGCTAGCCCAGGAAAGTTCTTAGGGCTAAGAAGGGCAAGAGCGCATGAGATTGGGTATTAGAAGCTGAGGTCAGTACGTCACTCAGCAGAGGTCTTAGCTAGGCAGGTAATAGATGGAAGGGGGACTTAAGTGAAGTTACAGTAAGAGTGTGTGCATTTCTGGCCCCAATAGCCTTTACCTGAAGACATACCTGCCTCCCTGTGAATGCACGTGGCTGGGATTTCTAATTAAGCCCACTATCACCACCAGTGGGGTGAGAACAGCCTACCTTGGTAGTGAGACTCAGCAAGCCTTCTTATTCCCTGGCAGAGGACAGCCTCAAGGATGTGCACCAGCTGAAGCAGCTGCTGCTGAAGGCCCTGACTTTGATGCTCGATGCAGCAGAGAGTTATGCCAAGGTAACCACAGAGTTTTATTTACTCCACATGGGGCTTAGGAGTTGGTGTCTGCAGTAGAGAATTTGTTTGTCCATGGGTGCCTCACAGTAAAGAGGGAGGATGTCACGAGCCAACCAAGAGTAGAAGAGGTGAGTACAGTTCTTGCAGAGTTCACACAGGAGATGGTGGCCACTAAGTCTTTCTCTACCTGTGTCTCCCTCTACCTGTCTCTCAGGATTCCTGTGTGCGACAGGCCCTGCACTGTCACCGGCTCACCAAGTTGATAACTCTACAGATTCACTTTCTGAACACTGGCCAGAACACAATGCTCATCAACTTAGGCTGCCACAGGCTGATGGACTGTATTGTGGCCCTACCTCGGTTCTACCAGGTGAGCAAGAAAGAAAACCCCAGCCAGCACTGCCAGCATTGTAAGGGCTCAGGGCTAGTGACAGAACTAGGCCAGTCCAGTTCTGCTTACTTAGCTGTCTTGATAACTACTGTGAAAAGAGGCAATTTGGTGTATCTCTCGCTAACGTATTCTTTGGGCAGAGCCTAGTGAACGGGAGAGAGTACTGTTTCCTTTTCTCATGCTATGAGGCCAGCAGAGACAGCCCTTGGCACCCTTTAGACAGGTGAGGTTCAGTGCTCCTGCGAGAGTCCTTTAGCCATAGCGTTTACAGAGTGGTGTACCCAACTTAGTATAGGGAGTCAGGGATGCCAAGAGATTGGTTCTAGCCCTTTAATGAAGAAGAATTATCCGGGAATCAGCCCTTTTACTATTTCTTACACAGTTGAGTTGGTGGGAGTAATATATTCTTTCTGAGAAGTTCTATTAATACATTGTGAGGAAGATTAAAAATGCTAAAGACATTGGGGGGTTTATGGGAGGGAATGCCAAATACACACCAGACTTCACCAGTTCTGATACACAGAGCCTTTCAATAATTATTTATGACCATATTCACTGTATGAGTGTACAGCATTGTTTTCTAGAACAATTTGCCTTCAATTTTACATCAGATGAGCTCTGATGGTGTCCTTCACTTCCATCCTTTTAAGGCATCCATTGTGGCTGAGGCCTATGATTTTGTGCCCGACTGGGCTGAAATTCTATACCAACATGTGGTTCTTAAAGGAGACTTTAATTACTTGGAAGAATTTAAGCAGCAAAGGTTATTAAGGCCCAGTATATTTGAAGAGATTTCAAAAAAGTAAGTATTAGAAGTTGACTATAAGCATTTCTTCTTGCCTCTGCTTTGAGGTGAGATAGGCATAAGAATTTTATGGCTAAGTACAACATGCCTTTAGCCCCTCTGCTTAAAACGGCAAAGAGATGCCAAGAACACCCAGAAAAATCTCTTAGCAGATTTATGCAAACAGATGAAAGATGACAGTTTGCTTATGGTGCTTTGAACTTAAAAATGGGAGGATAGCTACTCAGTGCCCAAAACACTAATCATCAGATGAGGTACCTTTTAGACTGCTAAACTTATTATAATTAACAGTAATACTCATTTTTAATGAAATAGTTTGTGTTTATCAAGCATCCTCAATACTACTCTGAAATAATCTCCTAGACTCCAGCACCCTCTTCTCTATAGGTAGTGGTCAGTCTTTTCAGAGCTGACAGCCCTCATTCAAAATACAGTGTCTTGAGCCTGGGTATGGTGGCAGCATCTGTAATCCCAGCTACTTGGGAGGCTGAGGCAGGAGGATTGCTTGAGCCCAGCCAGGAGCTCAAAGCTGTAATGAGCTATGATACTATCTGTGAATAGTCACTGCATTCTAGCCTGGGCAACAGGAGACCCTGTCCCTAAAAAATAATATAGCATCTTAACCTGTACATTGTATTTCTTTATCTAGATGTAGACAACATCAGCCTACTGACATGGTCATGGAAAACCTGAAGAAGCTACTCACGTACTGTGAAGATATCTACCTGTATTACAAGTTGGCATATGAACACAAATTTTATGAAATTGTAAATGTGCTTCTGAAGGACCCTCAGACAGGTTGCTGTCTGAAGGACATGCTAGCAGCTTAGATGATTTCACAGGTGCCTGTTTTCTTGTACTGATATGAGAATCTCTAGCAAATAAATGTCTGTGATTCTGCAAAGTAGAATAATGCATTGGGGATCTTTGTTGTCCAAGTTGAAAAAAGGCCAGGACTGTACCATATCATTCCTTTGAAGGGGGTAGTGCGTAAAGAATGAGAAACTTTTCACAAGGAAATTCCTATTTAAAAGTAACTGTTCATCTATACCGAGATCAATATTAAGATCAAAAGCTGCTTCTTCCTCAGGATGGCTTCTACTTTAGGACATGATACAGTAATGATTAAAGAATACCTGTGCCTGCAGATTCCAGTTTCAAAGAAATTTAATATTATTTACACAGTTAAGGAACAGGTGATACATGTGTTAGAAACTGATCTTTCTGTAATAAAATAGATTTTAAATTCATTGTATGTCATTATTACTGCTAAGGAAATCTTAGCCCTTTTCTGCCTTAAAATAATCTTTAAGTTATTGCTGTGTTCTGTTAATTCCTCAAATCACTTAGATGGTCCTGTTTTCCACTTAGTCGTCTATAGAGCTTTGACGTTCCTATTTTCTAAATAAAAGAAACTAAAAACATTTTTTGCTCTGTCCCTAGTTCTGCTTTTGACAATTAGAAAAAGAAGACTATAACCACAAATTTAAATCGCTTAGCAGAAGATTTAAAATAAAGAAGACTCCCCAATCTATGCTTACAGCCGTAACCTGAGTCATAGGCTCAATTACTCCAAATAAATAATTCTTCTAAGTACTTATTTAGGTCTTAGTATCTAACCAACAAAATAATTTCCCCAAATAAATAAGAAGAGGAGGCAGCCTTTGTTGCTCTGCGGTGACATTAAGGACCTGGCAAATCATTCTTGTTTGAAGGCGGTTAACTACGTCAAGCATTTATTAAGCTTTAGTATATAGAGAACTCTAGTCCCAAGAGCTGTGTTCTATCTATCTATACTCTTCAAAAATATCTCTTGGGCGGTAACACAAAATTTAAGTCCTCACAATAGTGATTTTATTAAATTAGTTGCTTTATAAAACATTGCAGATGTCATAATTGTTAACATAACAATTTACCAAACTGTAGTTAACTGGTGCAGTTTGCTGAGCATGTTTTATAAAGGAAAGGAAATGCCAAAACCCTGTTAAAGTTATTCCACTGTAGCCTAGGAGAACAAAGGAGATCTGTTTCTCAGACACTTAGATCAGGCAAATAAAAACAGGTGAAGACTTTCCCTCCCCCACCTGAAGCACTCCATCAGTAGAAATAGTCTGATATATAAAAACTAGACAGTCTATGCACTCAAGAGATTCCACAACTTGTAATGCAATAATGGAGAGTTTTACCTTCTTCGGCTTCAAAGTTGGAGGGTTTTGGTCATTTAATTTTTATCAAACTAGTGCTTTTCAGCCGCAGTATCTTCACTCCGAGATAAGCAGTCCTCTTCACAATATATTTTTAATATCCTCACGCTCAATTTTAAGACAAAGCAATTTTAATACTAGGTGCACACCACATGCCCTTGCTGCAAACTGCTTTTCTTGACAAGTTATGAAGTAGTTCAAGGAGGTATGGTTAAGGCTGTATTACTGAATGGTGCTGGTAAATACTACACAATTTTTTTTTATCATATCACATCCTTTTGTTTCCAATTTAGTGACTGCTGCTATGGAATCAGATAGCAACAGTGACAACATTATTAGGTTTGTTTTGTTTTGAACTATGATTTAGTAGCAACTGAGGCTCCCAATTTTAACCCCTTGGCAGCAAGATCCAAGTTCCCTCATTCGCACATTAGCACCTAAGTGTCAAGGGGTTAATAACCAGCACAAAAGATACTGCACTTCTGGATTGTAGCATTTGGCAGAACTGAAAGGAAAGGAAATTGTGCTACATGTTGAAGGGATTGTGGGCAACATAAAGAAGACACCAGAAGATAAAATGTCACATGAAGTCTTCATAGTCTTGTACATATCCTCCATCGTAACCACCATAATCTGCCAGATCGTCTTTCATGGTGGCTTTTAATCCCCCTCCAGGAACCACACCTTTCTTCTTCTTTTTGGCTTTGCTTTGCTAAAGATGAAAGAGAGTTAATTCATGAGACTCTCTGCTATGGGCATCTTATCTGGTATAGCAACCCTCACAGACACACTAAAACCTCTGGTCCCAGCAAAACTTTAGTGCTCTAAGGGAGATCCAAGCCTACATGTTATATACCTAAATAGGTCTTCAAAAGGTCTCCAGAGTCACTCTCTCTAAAACTTGAGTCCTTGTTCCTGCTCTGAATACCTAGCCCTCCAGCATGGGTTTAAGTTCTTGGTAGAAGATAATTTAGAAAGTGTGGATAAGTACCCCTAAATGTAAAACCACGCAAAAGAGTAACCTTTAATCACTTGGCATACTTATTTTACTCTTACATTACCCTGCAAAATGGGTATTATTGTCCCCATTTTAGAAGAGACACATCTGAGGCTCAGAGAACTTGACGGAACCCAATCTCTGTGATTTCAGCAATTTCTATTAACTTAGAAAAGAGGAACATAAATATGTCTATAAATAAAAGGACAGTAATTAGACCCATATTTTTGTTCTATTCCAACTTAAATGGTATTAGTGAATTGCTTGACTTTTAAATTTTTTAGGACATGGTTATCTCACTATATTTGTTGAACATTCTCCCTATAATCCCATCCTAATGTAATACACATTTTGCTACACGGCCTGCTCTTACCTTTTCTTGCTTCTGTTTTTCACTGCAAAGCACAGTCAATGAATTGGTAATCTTTTTCAAGTCATCAATTTCCACTTAAAAAAAAGCATACCATTAAACTTTAACTTTTAAGCATTCTGAAAAATAATAAAAACAAAATATATATTCCAACAGTGTTATGAGAAATCTAATTTGTTCACCATTAAACTTCAGCAACTTAAAAGGGCCATGAAGTTCTCCTTTTAAATGTAAGGCGATTGAGAATCATTCAGCAGCCTATGGCTAGGCTCACAAATCAGAACTCGATATTTAACACACTGACTGCCATACTAGAAAAAATTTTTTCCTTGGGGCCATGGTGTTTTATTATGAAAATAGAAAAACTTCGAAAACAAAACGATCCTTTCTAATGTAATGAAAAATTTGTTATTTTTTTATTGTTTTCTGTGCATGAGTTATATGCAACTTGAAAAATAGTTCACGTGGCTCCCAAGGTGAAGAGACCTGTGAGTTATATATATATATGCTTCATGAGGCCCCAGGCTCAAAACTAGTGTGAGTTAAATACAACTCACATGGCAGTTAATGTGTTAAAGTAAAATGGCAGGGATGGGCGTGGTGGCTCACGCCTGTAGTCCCAGCTACTCAGGAGGCTGAGGCAGGAGGTTGCTTGAGTCCAGGAGTTTGAGGTAGCAGTGAGCTATGATGCATGCCTGGGCAACAGAGACCCTGTCTCAAAAAAAAAAAAAAGTGGTAAACTCAGCAACAAAAATTTAGCTTAATGACTGATAGTCACCAACACACCATTGGCTCTACCAAAGAGAAACTGTGTCTTTATAGCTCAAAGTGCTCCCAACCATTCTTTCTTATTCAGTCTAAACAAATGGGGGAAGATAACATCCCCTTTCATAATATAGCTTCAATGCTCAGCGAGGAACAGCTGAGTGAACATGGAATGACAATTCTTAAACCTACAGGTGACAACACTCTAACACAGGAACAAAAATAGTGATCATCTTAGTGTCCTATCAAGAGACAGGCCTGTTTAGTGGACAATATATCCTCCCATCCTTATAAAAATATGAAGCTGGAAAGAGACACTCATTTTTAGCTACCAGAAAGTATTCAGTTTTGATTAGAGAACATCTCCAAAACCAGGAAAAATAGTACATGCAGAATAAAATACCAACTCTGGGTATATCACTGGTCAAATTCAGAACCCCCAGCTTAGTGATACCTTCTCAAAGAAAACCCAACTTAAAATTCATTTGTGGGATTCTTTTTTCTCACTCTTAAAAAGAGCAAATACTAGCAAAACCAGTCCCTTCTTCATGAGTGCTGCACCTCCCCCTCCCCATGGATGTCACTCCCATTCACCCTGCCCCGAAATGCACGATCCTCTCAGGGTGTGGCACCACACCATGGGCCCAGAGAATGGGTGCCAGCTCTGTTGAGCAACAGGTACCTTGTCTCAGGCTTTTTCATTTGTAAAATAAATAGACAAGTCGATGAAATCTCACCCATCTCTAAAATCCTGTATGCCCAGAGATCATTTCCCCCAAAAGGTACATCTAGCCCCTTTCAAGAGATAATTAGATAAAAAGAGTAGGCCACAGTTTTATTAGCTGCTTTGCCAACATGCCTAGATGCCCCTTTGGGAAGCCATTGTAAAAGAATTAAGAAGGCAGCCTCCCACCATGCCTCAAAAAAATCCCAGCACTCAAATTCGTTGTATATTTGTAGAACAACGTTCCCAAGGTAATTGTTAAAGAGCAAATCCTGAGTCTATATTTAGCATCCAAAACAGCAACAAACAAAAAACCCCCTCCATTCTCTTCAGTATGATGTCCTGCTAAAATCTACCCTCAGGCGCTAGAGATTAGAAATACTTACATGAAATACACACATCTCGAACTAAGACTTCCAAAAAACTGGCATAATATAGTGACTTTTCATATTGTGTAATTTTATCTTTTAGTAACTTTCCAAATTCTGTGAAGTCATCTCTTGAAGATGGGTTCATAGCATCTATTCCATAAACTGTATTATTAACACCTGAAAGAGAGAAGAAGCACTGAAAAAATATCAGGAAGTTAGGATTTTTTTTTAAAGTTTATAAACCAATTAGCTATCTGAATAACCTTGTTATTTCATTCTACAGCAGGGGTTCTTAACTTCAGGCCACTCGAGTCATTGGACAGAATTTGGAAGGGAGGTCTGAATTTGCATTAGAAAAAAATTACATCTTTATATTTTTATTAACCTCCAATTTAATATTTCCTTCAGTTTTGATTATAGGGAATACATCACAATGGTATTAGCAAAACCTGACTTACCAATAGAGCTCACACTTTCATATGACATTACTGATGTTACAGAAATCTTGCAATATTATTCAGTCATCATCGCTCTCAAATTATTACACCTGCCACTAGATCTTATTTAAAATTCTGTACCACAAGTTTGTTATTTTAGTCTTTTGATATCTATTTCAATATAACAGGTTTCCTTTGTAAATAAAATCCTATGTTATTTTATTCATTTAAAAGCATATTCTGGCCGGATGCAATGGCTCACACCTGTAATCCTAGCACTCTGGGAGGCCGAGGCAGGCGGATCGTTTTTAGCTCGGGAGTTCCAGACCAGCCTGAGCAAGAGCGAGACCCCGTCTCTACTAAAAAAATAGAAAGAAATTAGCTGGACAACTAAAAATACATAGAAAAAATTAGCCAGGCATGGTGGCGC